TCGATCTCCTGACCTCGTGATCCGCCCATCTCGGCCTCCCAAAGTGCGGGGATTACAGGCTTGAGCCACCGCGCCCGGCCTATTCTTTTTTTAAAATTATTATTTTTGTACTTTTAGCAGAGACGGGGTTTCACCATGTCACCATGTGGCCTCCCAAAGTGCTGGGATTACAGGCTTGAGCCACCGCGCCCGGCCTATTCTTTTTTTAAAATTATTATTTTTGTACTTTTAGCAGAGACGGGGTTTCACCATGTCACCATGTTGGCCAGGATGGGGTCGATCTTTTTTTTTTTTTAGACGGAGTCTCGTTCTGTCGCCCAGGCTGGAGTGCAGTGGCGCGATCTCGGCTTACTGTAAGCTCCACCTCCCAGGTTCACGCCATTCTCCTGCCTCAGCCTCCCGAGTAGCTGTGACTACAGGTGCCCACCACCACACCGGGCTAATTTTTTGTATTTTTAGTAGAGACGGGGTTTCTCCGTGTTAGCCAGGATGATCTCAATCTCCTGACCTCGTGATCCACCCGCCTCGGCTCCCAAAGTTCTGGGATTACAGGCGTGAGCCACCGCTCCCGGCCTATGGGGTCGATCTCAACCTCGTGATCCCTCCGCCTTGGCCTCCCAAAGTGCTGGGATTGCAGGCGTGAGCCACCCCACCAGGCCGGCTGTATTCTTTGTATTACACCATACTGCCTGAAAGACGTACAAAATTCAACAATGAAAAAAAAATAATGACTTAGTACTATACTTGGACATTTGAATTTAAATTGAGAAAATATGCATCATTACCTGCCAACATGCTACCAACTAAAAAGGGAGAATACAGTTCAAACTATCACCACCAGAGGTCAGCAGAGGAGAAATTCCCTGCTGCGGTGAGAGGGCAGAAAGTACCTCCTCTGGTGACTAATACATATAGTACACCTCCTACATTCACTAAGCTGCAGGAACTATAAAATGTAAAGGGCGGGCACAGGATGTGAAGAATTTCAGCATGGAGGTGGGAGAGGGCTATGGCTTGTTCTGCAATAGAGGCAGAGGAGTCCAACTCCACCAGACTCTTTCCCAGAGTAATAAACAACAGAAATAGGTAATCACTTCCACCCCTGTGAGCCACTGGCTCATTGAGAATTAGAGTCAGAGGGGACTTGTTCTCTGTTTCCCTAGCTTTCTGTCGCCCTAGTGGCTGCCTGGAAACCCTTTCTTGGAATGATGGGGCTTAGACCAAGGATGATAGTCCTGAGTACTGACTTTTCTTTTTTTGAGACGAAGCCTCACTCTGTCACCCAGGCTGGAGTGCAGTGGCGCGATCTCGGCTCACTGCAACCTCCGCCTCCCGGGTTCAAGCAATTCTCCTTCCTCAGCCTCCCAAGTAGCTGGGACTACAGGGGTGCGCCACCACGCCCAGCTAATTTTTGTATTTTTAATAGGGACGGGGTTTTACCATGTTGGCCAGGCTGGTCTCAAACTCCTGACCTCAGGTAATCCACCCGCCTGGGCCTCCCAAAGTGCTGGGATTACAGGCAGGAGCCACTGCGCCCAGCTTGAGTACTGACTTTTTGATTCTGGGGTCTTTCTTCTGGGGAACCTGCATGAAAGGAAGAGATAGTAAAAGTTCCAGTAGTCGTTAACAGCAGCCGGAGGAATGACCAGGGATAGAGATAGCCGCCCATCCTTCCTTGGGCCCTTCCAGGAGTCTGCAGGACCTTGCCAGTGAGGTGGAATGTTGTGCTTCCAGCTACTTTTCTTCACTGGCTCCCAGATCAGATAAGTCTGGGGTGGTGCGTGTGGTGGGGGGTGAGGGGAGATTTGAAGGTGAAATAGCTTCCTGTGTCTGGAATGTCTCAGGAGACTATCTCCTCCAGAGTGGGAGCAGGGTAAGGATCAGGCAGAAAGGCAGTCTCCTCACCCAAAGCTTTGGATAACTAATTCTTTCCAAGACAGAAACATTCCAGTCAGGTTTATGGGAACTATACCTGCTCTGGGTTGTTAGGTTTTAGAGTTAAGATGGTGATAGAGGCTGGGCACTGTGGTTCATGTCTGTAATCCCAGTACTTTGGGAGGCCAGAAGTTTGAAACTAGCCTGGGCAACATGGTGAGACCCCCCATCTATATTATTAAAGAAAAAAAAAAAAAAGCATTTCCTTTTTTTTGAGACGGAGCCTCACTCTGTCACTCAGGCTGGAGTAAAGTGGTGCAATCTCCGCTTACTGCAACCTCCGCCTCCTGGGTTCAAGCAATTCTCCTGCCTCAGCCTCCCAAGTAGCTAGGATTACAGATGCCTTCCACCACATCTGGCTAATTTTTTGTATTTTTAGTAGAGATGGGGTTTCACCATGTTGGCCAGGCTGGTTTCAAACTCCTGATCTCAGGTCATCCACCGCCTAGGCCTTCCAAAGTGCTGGGATTACAGGCGTGAGCCACTCCACCAGGCCAAAAAAAACATATTTCATTAAGTGCTGGGCCTACAAAGATAGAGATGTGATTACTGCCCTCTGGGAACTCATAGTGTAGAAATGCAGGCAGATATATGGACAAGCAACCAGAAAACTGTGTTTCCTACTAGGGGCATGAGCAAAGAGCTATACAAATAGATCAAGTAAGCTAATTCTGCCTAGGGCATAGAAGAAAGGTGCCCAGAGAGTTTCACAGAGAAGGGGATATTTAAATAGTCCCAAAGGTAAACACAATGGTAAGAGAACAGTTGTTCTAAGCAAAGGTAATGGCAAGAGTAAAGGCACAGAGAAGTAAACACAAAGCCTTGTGTGTTAGAGGTGGAAGGAGTGAGGAGGAAGCAATATGAGATATGAGACAGAAAATCACCTCAGAGAGAGATGGACCAAATTGGAAAGGTTTTCAATTCTGTATCAAGGAGCTTAGACTTTCCCAAAAAGCAAAATATTTTAGGCAGGGGCCTGGTGGCAATTGGAAGATGGATGACTACTGGGGTTTGGAGAGATCAGTTGCAAGACCTAAGCAGTAAACAAAGTGAGTACTGAGACAGTGGAAATGAAAATAAAAGAGGAGGCCGGGTGCGGTGGCTCATGCCTGTAATCCCAGCACTTTGGGAGGTCAAGATGGGCAGATCTCAAGGTCAAGAGATCAAGCCCATCCTGGCCAACATGCTGAAACCCCATCTCTACTAAAAATGCAAAAATTAACCGGGCGTGGTGGCGCGTGCCTGTAATCTCAGCCATTCAGGAGGCTGAGGCAGGACAATCGCTTGAATCCAGGAGGCAGAGGTTGCAGTGAGCCAAGATCACGCCACTGCACTCCAGCCTGGAGACAGAGCGAGACTTCATCTCAAAAAAAAAAAAAGAGGAAAAATTTGATATATATTGTATAGGTAATGTTGACAGGATTGGTAATCAAATGAATATTAGTAGGTGAAAGGGAGAACTAAAAGATGATTCTGAGGTTTCAAGTGTGAGTGATCAAGGAGCCGTGAAAGACAAAGAATTATTTCCCCTTCTACCATGTTGAATTTATCTGGAGGACATCCAGATGAAAATGTCTAGCAAGCAGACTTCCAGGTCAAGAGAAAAGTTAGGGCTTATGATTTGGGAGTCATCAACGTGGACATAATCTAATGTTAGAGTGGATGGGACTTGTTTAAGGGGGAAAAAGGTAGAGAAAGGAAAGGACACAAGACAGGGAACACAAATACTAAAGAGACACAGGAAGAAGTGGCTATGAAGGAGACTAAAAAATACAGAAATGTGCTGCGCACGGCAGCTCACACCTGTAATCCCAGCACTTTGGGATGCTGAGGCAGGCAGATCACCTGAGGTCAGGAGTTCGAGACCAGCCTGGCCAACACGATGAAACCTTGTCTCTACTAAAAATACAAAAATTAGCTGGGCATGGCGGCGGGTGCCTGTAATCCCAGCTACTCAGGAGGCTGGGGCAAG